CCCCGTGAAGCCGTGGTTTACAGTGAATTTATAACAGCTAAGGGGGTTTTAGGCACGTCATGCCTAAAAACCCCTTAGCTGTTATAAATTCACTGTAAACCACGGCTTCACGGGGATTATTGCTTTTATAAAACGGTTATTCCATATACGTAGTAAGGTTTCACAAAATAAAACAGAGCAAATAAAGTGTAATGATATTAATAAAAACAGTATTCTTCCACCAAACAATGTAGTTCCTCAGAAACAGTTGTGGTTGCTACAAAGTGGTTGCTGAGCAACACACAAACGTAAACAAAGGTGTATGTTACTTTGTAGAGTAATTTACAACAGCTTCGAACGCGGCTCAGCCAATCAGAATCAAGCACCGGAACTCTCCGCTTTATAAATGGTCTTTGTTCCTTGAAATAAAGCTGAAATAAAATATAAATATTACATTAAAAACTTAAATGGAAATTATAAATGTTAGGTTAAAGTACAAAATTTACTAAAACTGAAATAGATACAAATTAAAGCTAAATAGAAATATAAAAAAGGTCCGTAAAAAACGAAACAAATCAGGGTTAATAACTAAAATGAAAACCATAAAAAACACATTTATGCTACTTAACATAATCATTAATTGAAATGCAATATATAAAAAATATACTTTTATTATTTTTAAGCTAGTTGCCAAGGCAACATTTCTCACTTTCATTTACTTTGATGTACAAAAATAGCTAAAACTGAAATAAACATTTACATATATAGGCATATAAAAAAATAAACATTTGATTAACATTAAAATATTACACACACACACACACACACACACACACATATATATATATATATATATCATTTATTAGGTATTCATTTATTTAGTAAATACTAAATAAAAATAAATGTTATTTTTATTTATTTTCTATATATTTGAGTAAATAAGTATATGTTTATATATTTTTAAAGAAAGAACATGTATTTATTTATTTGTTGTCTTTTTTTAATTGTTGTTTATTTGTTTATTTTATGCATTAATATGCTTATTAATTTATTTTATTTATTATTATTTATTTATATATATATATATATATTCTATTATAGTATAAAACTCTCATAGTATCTCAGTGATACTATAGTAACATTGGAACCAATGAAAAAACTTTATATTTAATATTGAACTGCCAACATTAATCTTACAGTTCATAATCTTATTTTATGATAATATATAATCATATATAATATACACATACTGGTAAAAAATGTATAGCCTGAATGCACTGTAAGTCGCCTTGGATAAAAGCGTCTGCTAAATGCATAAATTATTATTATTAATTAATTATTATTATTATCAGTTTTTGAGCAGTGAATGTCATTGCATTAGACTTCTGTAAGCTGGTTCTTGCGTTCATTATCTTTGCGTCGTGAATACTGTGGAATATTCCAGAAAGCCCTGTGTAGTGTGCTTATGCTGTTTCTAGTGCACTACACTACACCACCTAGTGGCCTGATAGTGTGGCCAAACATACACAGCCAGAGCTAACAGAAAATAATTCTTTAGTTAAAACAAGATTGATAATATATATATATTACAAACATTGAAGTATTTACATCTTTTGAATGAAACAAGATGACACAAATCCCACATTGTATACACGAAGTGATTGTGGCATGGATTGAGACCTGGTTTCTCCGTCTGAAGTGAATCCAGGCTGTGGTCTGACAGTCGTGGAGATGAGCTCCGTGTATAGCTACACTGCTGCTCAAAAGTTTGGGGTCAGCGAGATTTGTAATGTGTTTTAAAGAAGTCTCTTCTGCTCACCAAGCCTGCTTTTATTTGATCAGAAATACAGCAAAAACTGTAAAATTGTGAAATATTATTAGAATCTAAAATAGCTGTTT